TGTGTTCCTCTCCTAGCTACAAATTTATCCAAAATCAAAGGTGTAGAACATATTTTATCATAATCATTTGGTAATCAATGCAATAAGTGTCTCCATGACAGTCTTGAACATTAAAACAAAGTATTAAATAATTAATACTGCTAATGTTAAGTGTTTGGCTCAGTAAAGATGTCATTGTGCAACACAGTTTAATATATATAGAACTCTATGTCAACATGAATCACTGTCAAACATTCATACATACTATCCACACTGATCTGTGTCCACACTTGTTTCTATAACAAAATTTTATTATTTTACCAACTAATTTTAATGTTCAACAATGTAAGATAAATTTCTTAGTCTGTTTAAGCCTTGTGAGTTTCGTCCTTTTACATGAATTTAAAACAATTACCATTTGTACTTGGGACTCTTCAGTAGGCAGTACAGATGGTTAGAAAAACGGGTTAAACACATAGAAACATATTGCAGTTTGATAGTAGTTTTCTGGTAAATATATATTTGAATATGGCAGAATTTTTTTTTATAGTTCAAATAGAAATAATAAACTGTTGAAACAGAGATATCTATCGCCTTTTTGTTATACAGATAGTATAATGCAACCGTTGAAATCAAAAATGGCAATTTTTAAACATGTAAGCTATGCATAACATTCAGTCGATGAACCATGACTGAAGGTTCAGGGCCAAATAACATGATGTGACAAAATGACAATTCCTATAAAACTGCATACCAAATACCATTGACATATCATAAGTGGTTCCCTTTAAACTAACCTAAACACAAACTTTCACTTGTAATCTATGCAAAAGTATCAGTCAATGAACCATAATGAGGAGGCGGGGCCATGATAATCTCATTGAAATGACAACTGCTTACCAAATATCATTGACTTAATATTAGTAGTTCATCTTAAACTGTTCTGAACACTTTAACATGTAAACTATCCAAAACATTCAAAATTAATAGACCACGACTGAGGGGGTGGAGTCAAATAATCTCCATAAAAATAAAATGTACCAACGCTTATACATCTGTATGCCATATATCATTTACCTACCACTATTTGGTCCCCTTAAACTGACTTAATCACAAACTAATACATATGTATACGTAAACTAAGCAAATGTTTCAAAGTCATTAAACCATGACTGAGGTGCTAGCCAAATAATGATATATGCCAATGCTTATACAACTGCATACCAACCTTAACCTGATCTAATCACAAACTTATACATTGTTGACGCTACCACAAGAAACAGCAGGCCTACACTCATCTTTTTTACTTTGTCAAGGCGGGACAAAAATCTTTGACAGTCTATGTTATGCTGAATCTTACCTTATGCTGACAGTTGCGTTAAGATCCTGCACAAGGCTTCTGTCATCTTATGATGTTACCTTACAGTTCATATGTACATGTGGGATGCCAGTTTACAAATCTAAAGATAAGGGAGCAACCATTTAACTTCAAGGGGGGATTATGGTTTTTTGTCTGAATCAGAAAAAAAATTTTCGTGCAAAGTGCAAACATTTTTATTTAGTTTTTCGACGCTATCAATCAAATTATCCTTTTGAAAATTTAACACTATAAGGTATGGGGAAAATCTGGATTCAGAATATTTTTTGTTTCATCTGCTTGACCACAATATTTGTTTTAGGAAATAACCATAAGGACCCCCCCCCCCCCCCCTTTGAAGTTAAATGGTAGTTTACTAAGGTATAACAATGAATGGGTCTCAGTTAGTGCATAGAACCTTCATAGTAATCTTAGGGACTGGAGGGTGCTCAATCCAGTTATTTACTTTGTAAAACTTGCTTAAATTTAAATTAGCAGTTTGTGACAAAACTGCATGGAGAACCTGCAAAAAAGCCTTGTCCATAAGATGTAGAACCTATAGGAGGTCAGTGGCGGATCTAGAAATTTTCATTATTGGGGGCCCACTGACTGCCTAAGAGGGGGCCCGCTCCAGTCATGCTTCAGTGATTCCCTATATAATCAACCAAATGTTTCCCATTTTGCCCCCCCCCCCCCCCTAAATCCGCCACTGGAGGTTGTGGTGAAAATATTCAGTACAAATTATAGTTTATATCACCAGAAGTCACCCCTCATGCACAAATCCTGGACAAAAAATTAACAGTGAATGCTTACATTTGTAATATGTCCCTCTTTTTGACAGCTGAACACATATTGAACAGAATTCTACCTTTCTAAGATAAACATGAAAAAAAAACAAGTTTAATAGAGGTTGAAATACTGCATAGAATGTACACATAATGCATTCACAATTTTATAACATGCAAATTCCATTTTTTTTTGCAACACTAATCTTGTAACAATCTTGAATTGGCAATAAAAAAAAAAGTGCACAAATTTCTGCATCCACTGAGTAGACTTATAAGAATCCAGACATTTTAGAGCAGGACATATTATATATTAGACACCCATCCATTGTTGGACTGTATGTTGCCCCTCGATGGTTTTTTTTGATTATTTCTATTGTTGGATTGCTCTGATTGGCATATATCATACATGTCCTTTTAATCTTAAAATAGATAACTGTAAAATAGTTTACATTTATCATATTAGCTTGTACCCTCGGCAGTTGAATCGATGGTTATGACAATGGTCAAAATCAAAAATTGTTCTTTTCCTCCTTGAATTATAATATAGATTAAAGGATCTACATAATATACTTAAAACTTTTTCGAAAATAGACCAAGTCTGTAAAGGCTATATTTGGCCCCGAATATTAAGTCCATTACTTCAAGATGATATCGATCTATTTGCAACTGAATTTTACAGTTTTTACTTATGATGTGTTGTTACAAATGTACACCCCAGTCCCAGGTTAGGAGGAGACATGAGTGCTGACACAAACATGTTTTATCCACCCCATGTCCTTCCATGCCTGTCATATTTGTTTTCTCATTTACATTGCTTTTAATTTTTTCTACTGAGTCTGCAGGGCCTTTTATAGCGGTCTATATGGCATGGTTTTTTTTCATTGATGAAGGTTGTATGTCAGTGACCAATAGTTGCTTACATCCATGTCATTTGAACTCTGGTGGATATTTTTTTCTATGAATGGTATTAATAAATAGACTATATGTAGCTTTCCTTTCGGAACTGAGTAGTTTTGGTTACAAATGTTCTTGTAGATTTACAGGATAAATGCTCAAAATTTGACAAAATCTGTCAAAGTTGCTGTTATCAGCAATCTTCGAACATTTTCAAATTGGTCATCTGATTAGAAGAAAACTCATCAGAGATATTAGACTGATAACCTGGTGTTGGATAGTAAGGGTATATGTTTTTTTTAAATGCACGTAGACGATTAACAGGCTATATATCTGACCTGAAGTCAAGTTCCTACTCTTGAATCAAAACATTTGGAATTTTTAATCAAATAAGTAAGACATTATATTGTTTGAATCTCAGAGTACAGATATGAAGGTGTCATACTATGAATTTTAGTAAAGAATGGAAGATTTTTTTTTGCCCTGTGAGTGAAATAGATTCAGGAGAAATTGGCCCGTAACCTCTTTGTCAGCTCAAATTAGAACAAGAAGGAGTCTGTTAATTAAAGTCCCTAAAAAAATTAATAAAGATAACATTTAAGAAGGTCTTAATTCAAACATCGTCATCTTCCAGTTTTTATTTGTCAAACACACAAAAAAACAAATTTTGATAGGAACAATGTTGAAAATTTTGTCAGAAATCAATTTTTAATGTTTGAATCAGTGTTTACATTGAACAGATTGAAAATATATTATTGATATTGAATAAATACAACATCACATGAAGTTTTGTACGTTGATACATGTATTTTCATGTACTTAGAAGCTATTTTTTTATACAGGTAAATTAATCAACGAGTGATTCATTTCTCTTAGAAGAAATTTAAAGATCCCAGTGAATAAACTACACAGAGAACAATAGATATTCTATTTATTCAATGGGACAATAGAACCATGGAAGTAATATTATTTCCATGATATAACAAAAGTTTAAATACCTTGACCAAGTGGAGATGACTCTGTGGATAAGTTTCATTTGGTTTGCAATAAAATTTAACTTTTCTGTACATTTATTGTTCATACCCTTTCTCGAGTCGTCAGAATTAATATTGTTAAAATACTTCAGTAAGCAATTCTCATTGAATGAAGTACCGGTATATTATTTAAAAATTACCCAGAATAAGCCATACAAAAACTACCAATAATGTGTATTTCTGAACTATCATCTCTGACATCCAATTAATAATAATAATAATTCTTTATCTAAAGAGGAATAAAAGGAAGTTGCAAATTTCTGTTAATTTTCAATGCAACAGGGAAAATGTTTGACATACAATGGACACAGTTTAATATCTTGATTTGTTGTGTACGAGTCTCGTGTATACTTAACGTCTGTGTATCGTTAACAATCATAAGCCGCACATCTCAGATGAGTTTTTACCATGGAAAGTTGACTCTACTTTTAGAATTTCCTGTTTGATACCATTCAAACTAGTGAATATATTTCTAATGTTCCAATTACCATCTTGAATGAAAAATATGTTGAAAGATTTAAGTTTTGAATCTATCGCCTTTACAATGGAAAACTCAACCCCTTCTTGAAAGTCAGTTTTTAAAAATCTAATAATAGCACTTAAATTATATAGTAAGATTGGAACAGGATCAGTTCAAACATTCTCAAGAATGACAAATGTGAAAATTTTCAATTAACTACATGTATGTACCAATAAGTTTTTTCAACCATTTATTTTCTACCTCAGGAATATATTACCAGTGCGCGAACTGGTGACAAAATATTACCTCCCCTGTAAACAGTGCGCTCTTCTGACTAGAGGCGATCGGTAAAGAAAAACGGATAATGCCGTAATTGTTTTGCTTGTTTGAAATGAGCTAGCACAGACGAACTAAGACGTGTCAAAATAATGTGAATATGATCAGTTATAAATCAGGTAAATTATTAATTATTAAGTTTATCATCTCACCGTATCTTCATATGATAGGTAGATGCGTGAATTTTCGATTTTCAGTGTCGTCTGGGTTCAAACTTGTTTAAATAGAAAATATCATCCTCCACACACATGGCCATGAAAGCACTGAGATATAATTTTTTAATTTAGTTGAATTTATGCTGCGTTCACACGTAATTCGAATTCGATTCGCATTAACTAATTCGAATTAGTTTAATTCGCATTCGAAACGTTTTACGTCCAAACGTAAATTCTAATTCGAATTGCACTGCGCGTCAAATTCGCTTTACTGTCCGAATGACGTTAACTTTTAATTCGTATTAACAAAAACGCATTTCTAATGCGAATTGGATGATGCGATTTAGCCAAATCGAATCAATTCGAATTAAAAAAGAAGAGTGTGTGAACGCGATTAGCGAATTCGATTCGCATTCGATTCGAATTCAATTCGAATTAAATGTACGTGTGAACGAGGCATAATAAATAGTATAAAAAAGTTCTAAGGTTCACGTATTGTCTTTTTTTTTTTTTAAAAGCAACTTGTATAGCTAGTTTATTTGTTAATTTGTAATTTTTTTTATACTGCCACGCTTTCGTGAGTACGAGAATTTGTTTGATGATTTAAATGTCTGTTCTCCTTTGGATGTCAGATATATACGATTAATAATTGCATATGCCAAGTGAGTATAGACTGTCCCTCATACTAAACATTTCTATAAAATCTATGTCATTTAATGGGACAAATAAATAAAAGCAAGTAGGGCTTAATTTAATCTCTCATGGGAACAGAATATCGCAGTCTTTTACAAAATTTGATAAAATGAGTCATATTTATATGTAATTATCTGATGCTTTCACAAGAATTGAATTATTCAGTATTTATTCTAGACTTATACAATTTTAAATCAATGCCAAGTTCGGTCAAAATAACCCCGGGCTTATTATAATTTACACAATTGAAGGCATTTATGAATTATAAATCCATTTCACTGGCCTCACGCAAACACATTATACATTTATTTAGGTTATGTTTAAAATTCGAATTATTTCAGATTAAAGCTATGTATAAATTCCATCTATCTATAAATAATGTATTGAAACTTTGGGCTACCTTTATTATAAGTATTACATATACTAAATAATACACAGGGAAAACTAATGGCATCTGAACAATAGAGTAACGATTCGTAGATTTAACGGTTTCAAACATTCTTTTAAGAAGTCTAATTTTAAAATTTAATTGTAAAAACAAATTTGGAAAGCTGGCACATATAAATTGAAATAATAATACTTTCAAATAACAGTTCATTTCTACTGTAAATACAAGTAATTGATAGCGTTCAGAAAACGCCTGCTGGACATGCCATTCATTAAATAGCTGCTTCAAATAATATGCGAAGTTTCAGTCTGAGTTCCCGAATAATTCCACTTCAGTTTATTCAGTCTGGATATATCTGATAACATTTAAGACTGACAGTATCGATTCTGAAATATAAATGATGGTTATTGTTGTCTTGATCTTTTCACCACAACATATTTCGATGATATTCGTTTATTCAATATTTTTTCAATACCATATCATTAAATATATCTTATGAAGTTATAAGTTTTTACTTAATATTTGATCAGGAGTTGCTGCGGTAGTGAGAAAGCACACTATTCACGTGTATGAGCAGGCAGTTGAGCTTCCAGTCTTCTTGTACACTCTGAATTCAGTCTAAACTAGGATATTTCTCCCAAGAATTCTTAGATTCCACTCGAATTAATTATCAGCAACTACATTGGAATTATTTTGGTATGATTTAAAATTTTAAAAACACAACGCAAACTTTAGAATTAAATCTAAATTTTTGACTTTAATTCGAACGACCGTCGTTCTAAATTTCATAGTCAATGTTTTGCTTGTCCTAGATTTTTGTACATTTGCCTTTGTTTTTTACTAAATTTTTATACATTTGTAAATAAATGATGAGTAGTTCTATTTGGTTTTTGTCTCTGTTCAGCCAAAATCTGACATCAGGCATCCCGATGATCGAATAGAGGCGAAGTGTTTTCCGCTCCAAATCCCGGGAGATGCCGACACTGTTACATCTGTTAACTTTGGAGTCGAGCCCATGAACTAGGTGACAGTAACTGCGAGTACTCTCAGATCTGTACTTAGTGTCTTCTCTGTTGTGGGAATGTATAAATTCCCTGCCACGTCCGGTCTGTGTTTTTGTTAGTTGTTTTTATACGCCCATTTACGGGACCTTTTATGGTATACCGTTGTTCGTCCGTCCGTCCGTCCGTCCGTCCGTCTGTCCGTCCGTCCGTCCGTCCGTCCGTCTGTCCGTCTGTCCGTCTGTCCGTCCGTCCGTCTGTCCGTCCGTCTGTCCGTCCGTCGTCAACATGTCGGACAATAACTCAATTTTCATGAAACTTTGGTTAATTGTTTATATCTATTGACGTAAGCTCCCTTTTGATTTTTATGAATTTTAGATTTTCCGTTTCCGAGTTATTGGATTTTATTTATAAAAAAGGGGGAATTTTCCAGTTTTCGGATAATAACCCAAAAACGCTTTAACCAATTTTAATTAAACTTTAGTAAATTGTTTATATCTATTCATGTAAGCTCCCATTCGATTTTTATAAATTTTAGATTTTACGTTTCTGAGTAATTTGGTTTTTATTTATAAAAAAGGGGGGATTTTCCAGTTTTTGGACAATAACTCAAAAATGCTTTAAGCAGTTTTCATGAAATTTTGGTGACTGTTTTATATCTTTTAGAATAAGATCCCTTTAGTTTTTTTTTATTATTAATTTCTGATATGACATTGAGGAGTTATGGAACTGTATTCGCTGAAAAAAGCAACGGGCGTATCATGCGCTCATGGCGCAGCTCTTTATTCTGCTTTGTATCAATCTGATGAGTTAAGCCCTTTTCAACGGTATTTTTATAGTTTGTTCTTATGTTGTATTGTTACACCACTGTCCTAGGTTAGGGGAGGGTTTGGCGCCAGCAAACTAGTTTAACCCATCCACATTCTTTATGTGCCAGTCCCAAGTCAGGAGCCTGTAATTCAGTGGTTGTCGTTTGTTGCTGTATATCATATTTGTTTTTCGTTCATTGTTGTGTTTATAATCCAAGCCGTTAGTTTTCTCGTTTGAATTGTTTTACATTTGTCATTTCGGGGCCTTTTATAGCTGACTATGCAGTATGGGTTTTGCTCATTGATGAAGGCCGTACGGTGACCTATAGTTGTAAACTTCTATGTCAATTGGTCTCTGGTGGAGCGTTGTCTCATTGGCAATCATACCACATCTTATTTTTATATTGTGTCAACAGCCTTTAAACACAAGTCACAAGAGTGCACATACTGAAATATCTTTCCTGTTTAATTGACTATAGTGGTTGTCATTGGTTCGTAGATTTTTCCAAAGAGGTATTCATATAGAGTCTATCGGTACAAAGACATCATTCGTAAATATACATCAACATGCAGACATCTTATACGTTCAGGTATTTCACATCCAATATTTTATGGTAATATTCTTTACAAAGCACAAAAATGTCGACATTCACCTCAAAAGCTAACCAAACCTTCAAACAGACTTATTCGGAAAGGATATAGTTACGATACTGTTGTCAAGTCATTAAGGATTGCATATTTTGGTATTAATATTGATTCACTCATAGGGTCTTTGCATCGGAAATAAACACATTTATTCTAAAACCAGTTGTTGGCATGATACGGGTTATGTTCTTCTCATATATTTTATGATGGTATGATACTAAATCCCTAACGGGAGGGATTGTACTTGATTTTCATATGATGAAGACAAAATGGCACCTGTCCTAAGTCAGGAATCTGATTACAGTAGTTGTCGTCTGTTTATGTGGTTCATACGTGTTTCTCGTTTCTCGTTTTTATATAGATTAGACCGTTGGTTTTTCTGTTTGAATGGTTTTACACCAGTAAATTTTTGGGGCCCTTTATAGCTTGCTGTTCGGTGTGAGCCAATGCTCCATGTTGAAGGCCGTACATTGACCTATAATGGTTTACTTTTATAAATTGTAACTTGGATGGAGAGTTGTCTCATTGGCACTCATACCACATCTTCCTATATCTATATAATCTTTCAATCAGTTTAATTGAGGTCTGGAGCTGGCATGTCAGTAACTGCTAGTAGTCCTTTGTTCATTTATGTATCATTGTCATTTTGCTTAGTTTCTTTTGTTACCTATTCTGACATCGGACTCGGACTTCTTTTAAACTTAGTTTTACTGTGCGTATTGCTATGTGTTTCTTTATTCTACATTGGCTAGAGGTAAAGGGGAGGGTTGAGGTCTCACAAAACATGTTTAACCCCGCCGCATGTTTGCGCCTGTCCCAAGTCAGGAGCCTCTGCTCTTTGGTCGGGTTGTTGTCTCTTTGACATATTCCCCATTTCCATTCACAATTTTATCTTCATTAATCACAAGATTAGATACGGAGACATTTCAAAGAGGTATTTATATAGAGTCTAGTATCTTCATAAATCACAAGATTAGATACGTAGACTTTTCCAAAGAGGTATTTATATAGAGTCTATCTTCATAAATCAGAAGATGAGATACGTAAACTTTTCCAAAAAGGTATTTATATAGAGTCTTTTTTTCATAAATCACAAGATTAGATACGTAGACTTTGCCAAAGAGGTATTTATAGAGTTCATCTTCATAAATCACAAGATAAGATACGTAGACTTTTCCAAAGAGGTATTTTTATAGAGTCTATCTTTAGAAATCACAAGATTAGTTAACTTCGTAGACTTTTCCGAAAAGGTATTTATATAGAGTTTATCTTCATAAATCACAAGATTAGATACGTAGACTTTCCAAAGAGGTATTTATATAGAGTCCATCTTCATAAATCACAAAATAAGTTAACTTCGTGCTTCTTATAGAGTTCTCGATTCTCCGAAATATGTTGGATAATAGAGCTAGAAAAAATTAATCGTACTTAAGCTTAGGACTAACTGATCTGAAAAAAACATCTCTTCCTATTTTTATAATTTGATACCTTATGTGAATAATGATGACATTCCAAATACCACTTTACACCTTTAACTCCCTTGT